CCTGGAATAGTTTTATACCAACTGAAAAGAACTGACTGTAAAGTTTTAGGAATTTAAAAAATCTGTTGTTAAGCACAGCCATTGTTAAATTACATTCAAAACAAAGGCGATAATTACTTAAAACTCATCATTTCCTATTTTTAAAGTACATTTTACTATTATCTATTCTCTTGAAATTATTTACATCCATTATATCTGTAGAGTAGAAATACTATATAATCGTATGTCTCTTCCCAGCTCTGAGTTCAGTGAATCATGTTGGTAGTTTGAAAAGAGGCCACAGTGGAGTGTTTATTGGCATATAAATTGGCAAATGCTGCAGAGTGCAGCCAGTTCCCTCTCTTACCCTTCCAGCCTGTTGCTAACATTTATCAGCATACCACTAGCTGCAACTAATACCATATTAAACATACTAAAAAATCATCACATTCGACATGGAATGTAATTTTTCCTACTAAAATTTAAAAGCTCTGTAACAATTTTGCTTTTGAAATTGCTTAGCTATAATGAACTCATTAACTAACAATTGGTTACAGTTTACTGTAGTCTATTAAATGTGCAATAGCATTATGAAACAGTTTGAAATATTGTGAAAATTACCAAAATGTGACACAGAGACATGAAGTGAGCACATTCTGTTGGAAAAATGGTGCCAATAGACTTGTTTGACACAGGGTTGCCACAAACCTTCAATTGGTAAAAAACACATTATCTATGAAGCTTAATAAAGTGAAGCAGAATACAACAAGGTTTATCTGGATTTAGAATGTCATGCTTGGTAAAGTTAGAGGGTCAGTGAAAAAGGGAAGACCCTTAATGAGGTAGATTTGACACAGTGACTACAACTATGGTTTAAAAATAGCACAGAACTTTGAGGATAGTGCAGTGTTTTGTTCTGTTGTTCCTGGGGTTGCTGTGAGTTGGAGCCGACTCGACAGCATCTAACAACAGGGCCCACAGAGATCTTAAAATACTCTTGCATCCATTTTATTTTAGAAAATTAATTTAAAAAATATTATTGTGGTAAAAAAAATGTGTATCTCAAAATATTTGCCGTTTCAACCATTTTTACATCTACAACTCAGTGACATTAATTATATTCACCATGGCATGAAACCAATGCTAAAAATCTGTTTTCAGATTTTTTTGTCACCTCAAACAGAAACTCTACCCATTAAGCAATAACTCTTCATTTCCCTACCCCTAGCCCTAGAAACCACTTACTAAACTTTGGTCTCTATACATTTGCCTATTCTAGATATTTCATGTAAGTGGAATCATACAATATTTATCCTTTTGTGTCTGATTCATTTCTTTTTATATAATGTTTTCAAGGTTCACCTGTGTGTTAGCATGTATCAGGACTTCATTTCCCTTTATAGCTGAGTAATAATCCATTGTATATAAATACTATTTTGTTCATCTGTTGGTGGACATTCAGGTAGGTTGTTTCGACTTCTTGGCTATTGTGAATAGTGCTGCAAAGAATATGGGTGTACAAGACTCTGCTTTCAACTTTCAGGAATGGGAGCTCTGGTAGCATAGTGCGTGCCTAAGGCACTTGACTGCTAACCAGAGGCTGGCGGTTTAAACCCACCAGCCACTCCTCGGAAGGAAGGTTGGGCAATCTACTTCCATAGTGATACTGCCTCAGCAACCCAAGAAGGGGTCGCTATGAGTCAGGTCTGACTCAACGGCACATAACAACAACAACAACATGGTAATTTTATGCTTAGCTTTTTAAGGAGCTGCCAAACTGTTTTGCATAGTGGCCACACCATGTTATATTTCCACCACCTTGTATCCATCCTTTACCAAGTAGTAGTAGTTGCTGTTGTGGTGTGCCGTCTAGTTGATTTCAATTCATAGCAACCCACATGACAGCGCAGAACTGCTACATAGGGTTTTCTAGGCTTGAATTTTTATAGGAGTAGATCCACTGGTCCTTCTGCAGAATTGCTGGGTGGATTTGAACTATGAACCTTTCAGTTAGCAGCAAAGCACTTAACTGTTGTGCCACCAGGGCTCCTTTTACCTTGTAGGAAAGTAGTAAATATTAGAGCTTTCACACAAATATAAATTCAAGTACTGCAGACAGGTAATATATGTATGTTCTTATTTATGTTTTTTTTAAACACTGTCTCCTTTAGAAGTAAAAGCTGTGTTGGATAAATGTTTCTTAGATGAGACCACAGTTCTCAAGGCCCCTGGAACATTAAAGGAAAAGGTACTTTTTGTGATTCTTCATCTTGGAGTCCTTGGGGCACCCATGGGGACTGACAGACCTCCCACATATTGTATCACCTCTGATAATTGCCAGATACTGTGTGTGTCTGTGTGTTTGAGTGGATTCACATCTGACTTTTGGTTTTGTCTTCTGGGATTTGGTCACCTGAGATGTTTTCCATGCCCTTCGCAGGAAACAAAGTTATTTTCAAAGAGGTCCAATGCTGTCCTTGGTACAGATATCTCTTATGGAAAGGAATTTGACTCTAAGGATAACTCTTACAAAAATGAAACCACTTTGTGATTTGTGGTGTATGTAATGGATGTGTAAATAAATGGATAATTAGATCATTTCAGATGGTGGAAGGGGCAGCTTCCCAAGGAACCCTATAGAAAACATATGTGGTTGGTCCACAAACTAGTGCTAGGCCATGTTTTGGGAGCCTGCTGGTCATCATGAGAGCAGAAGAAAGATTCCACTGTGTGCATGAGAAGGGGGTGTTGCCACTTTGCAATTCTGATTTGCCATTCTGCATCCAACAGCCTGGGAGCCTATTCTTACTGGCAGTACTTTGTGTGTGTGTGTGGTGTGTGTGGTGTGTGTGTGTGTGTGTGTGTGTGGCTGGAGTATGCAGCTGGTAGCTGACATCAGAACTTTAATCACATTTTTGTTTGGCATGTTTATTTTTGTTAAGCATCTTATTATTTATTTATTTATTTTTATGAGCCCAGAATTGCAGACCTCTAAGGAATCTGCTCCTTGACTTAGTTTATTGCTGGAGTAAACAAAAGGCTTGGCACTAAGCTGGGGAGAGATCACAGTGTGATTCTCCGCACCCCCCCACCAAGTCTGTGACCCTGTGGCATTTCAGCTAATTTGGGCTGCAGCCCCTGGGTACTGGGCTGTTTTATCCAGCTCTCGGCTCTCTTTGCACCCATTTCACTTCCCAAAGCCAAAAGCCTCATTATTTTAAACTTTATAGATTCAGATCATATTTAGATGATCAATTATATTTACATGACAGGGCAGTTTAGCTACATGGTGCCCTGCCCTTGGCACACAGATGGTCCTGCTGCCCCGCCTTCTGCTGTCCAGATGAAGTTTGCATGTACTTCCTCTGCCCACAGAGACGGTCACTGGACTTTCCCACCCTGGAATGGAAGGGGCAGATTTGGCAGCTCACTTTTCTTTGCCTTTGTTCCATAGGTTTAAATGTAGAGTAAATAATACTTATTCTTTCACCCTCCTTTGTTTTTTCCATCTGGGGGGAAGAAAAGTCCTCTTAGTTTGTTTTATTATTATTTTATTTTGCATGATGTTTTATTTAAATAGGAGTTTTTTCTTGCTCTAAGACATAGTTAAGGCCAATTGTTGGCTTATTTATCTAAGTTAATGTGTCAGTTTCACTCTGATGAACAGATGATATTCCTAAATCATGAGGAATAACAACATAAACACTTTGCTTTACCTCATGAACATATCTTATAGGAAATAAGGGAAATGGAAGGTAGACATTAAAACCATATACATTCTAAGAAAATGTAAAATTCTTGTGTTTTTTTTTTTTTTCACTTAAATGGTGTTTTTTATTTTTTAACTGTTTATTGTGATTTGGGTGAAAGTTTGCAGAGCAAATTGAGTTTCCGTTCAAGAGTTCATAATAATTTTGATTCATGACAGTGATTGCTTCAGGAAGACCCTAACGGATAACTGCAGTTTGTTCTAAGTCATTCTCACCTCTGTGCTCCCTCATGTTTCCTGGTCCCTGGGATCCCTGAGGCTGAGCTGGGTGTAGGGCTGGGCTCTGTCAGAAGCTGAAGGAAGTGGCCCATCAACAGACAGAACTGGTTTGCCTGCAGACAGCAAAGAGCCTGATGACCTAACCTGGGGCAGAAAGCAGTTCTGGGTGGGAAAAAGACTTGAATCATGGAGGCCTGGGGGTAGGGCAACTCAATGGCAGCAGGTTTGGTTTGGTTTGTTTTTGGGATCAGGAGATACATGGATATAATATTCTTCTTATCAGTTCAATACAAAATATTTTATGCCATTTTCAGACTGTTTCACACAGTGTGTCCCAGTTTGTGGTTCAGAAAATATGATCTCCAAAAGCAGCTGGGCATCACTGAAATATTTGCCAGTGCAGGAATCCTACTGGGGGCTGGGAGGGAGTGGGCTAGGCAGGGAAATGCTATTTTTTTTTTATCAGTCATTTTTACTGGCCAGACACCATATCATCCTGGACCCAAGGCCAAATTGCAGTGATGATTCTGAAAGGTTCTTTTGATCATGTTCTGCTGGGCAGGAACTGGGGAGGGATTTCTCAATTCCCATTATATTAATAATTGGGTATTTTCTTCATTGCATTCACCTTTCAGAGTGTAGGCAGTGGGGGTAAAGGGGAGCTCAGATGTATTGGCATGGTATTCTTTTCCTGTGCTACCTAATTTAATCCTCACAACAACCCTAGAAGGGAAGTTATATTCTCCTTTTACAGCTGGGAATGCTGAGCTCAAAGAGGCTAAGTGTCTCTCTTTGTGGGCCTGTTAGGAGAGGAGGAGCTACTTGAAATGGTTTTGCAGCCTCCTCCAGGAAGGTGAGGGTAAAGCCACACAAAGGCCAGAGCATTCCACTCAGAGCATCCAAATGGCAGTCTTGTTCCAAGCCAGGAGTTGGGATTACCCCTGAGTTTTGCTTCCCCCATGGCCTTTGGTGGGTGTTTGCATGTGTTATGTCTGGTTTGGGTTTCAGATTTATTCTTGCATTTTTATTTCAGGACATAACTTGGCAAGATGAGCACTCTGCCCCTTTCTCCTGGGAAACAAGGGTAAGTTGGATTAAATTTAGATTTATTTGTACTTTTTCAATAGAATTGAGGGATTATGTATTTTTCTTTCCACATTTGATAGACTTAGATGGCAGCTGCCCATACTCCCAGGCTGCAGTTGGCATGCCATTGTGGATAGAAAAGGAGAGAGGAGAAGGAGAGAACTGTTAGGAGTCAGGACACTGTTGTGTGGTTTGGTAATGGAATGTAAAGTAGTAGTGAGTGCTGTCAGCTGGCCCAGTGGCGCCCGATGACTAGGGAATGTAGGGCAGCCACATTGGGCCTATCTAGCTTGCATTTCCTCCCACCAGCACTCCATAAGACAAAGCTTTGTAGGATTGCAATCTAGTAACATATTTGTGGTTATTATTTTTACAGAGTTGCTTAAGAGCATCAAGTTTGACTGACTTAAGTTTATTTCCCCCATGAGTTGTCCTGGTAGAACTGCATTAATAAGCAGTAAGATGGCCAAAGAGCCAAGGAAGAGAAATAAAGGGCCAGGTGTTTCTGAAGACTGGACTAATCAGTGTGAGTGTTGGGGTGATGGAGGTGGTTGTGTGCCTGGGATGAAATGAAAGCCAGAGTCAGATCAGGGCTTCACCCACTCATCTATGAAGTGTGCATCTTCTGGGTTTTTCACATGGCTTCTCACTTGCCAATTGGGTCTCTCACCCCAGCAGCACCAGGTGGAGAGGACAGGAGCTGCCACCTGATAAGCCTGTGAAGAGGGTGGACTGGGGTTGGGGAAGCAGTGAGGGGGTCAGCCAGGGGCCTGATGGCCTTCATGTGGGGAAGTGTATCTTACAATGAAGTATTTCACAAGGGCTCAGATGGACTGGCACAGCTAATACATAGATACATTTAGTAAGTGATTGTGATCATTTTGAATGAAGCAAGGTGGTCTCAGGAAATGGAACCTTCACAGGTAGAGTTTGTCCTCATGTTAGAGAGAAGAGATGATCTTGGGGTGTGCATTAATTTACTTGACAAACTGGCATGCCCTTTGCCTTCAGTGTAGCATTTACATCAGATCCTAAAGTCCTAGAAATAAACAGATACCAGCATCCTGTATGTCCTGTTTTTATTGTCATATCAGATTGATAACTCAGGTCTGTGCAGAGGATAGGGTGAGGGAGGTTGGCCTTACTGGAAGCTGAGTCTCTCTGGAGGTTCTGGACATTCATTGAAGGGCTGGCTGAGGTTAGGGTAGGTAGCAAAGGAAGCCAGAGAGAGGCCTGCAATTACAATAGCTCCTGAATCCCACTAGAATCCTGTGTCTGGTGGCACTGCAGAGAAGACTGTAGGTGGGTTGAGAGCATATCATTACCTTGGTTTTCAGCCAGAGTCTTGGATAGTACTCATATGTGTCTTCCAGAATGGGTGGCGAGAAGCACTGATCTCATAATGATGCCTGGTGGTCATATATAACTAGTCATTCTGCACACTGGGAACCAACAACCTTAGTTCCCAGGTTCTAATGTTGTTGTTGTTGTTATGTGCCATCGAGTCGGCCCCAACTCGTAGCGACCCCTCCTTGGGTTTCCGAGGTGGTATCACTATGGAAGTAGATTGCCCAACCTTCCATCTGAGGAGTGGCTGGTGGGTTTGAACCCACCAGCCTTCTGGTTAGCGATCAAGTGCCTTAGACACTATGCTGCCAGAGCTCCTCAGGTTCTAATAGTGGTTCAGAAAGCAGCACATGTTGCCCTGTGCTGGGCCTTGAATTTGGTGATATTACAGCGGTGAGGACACAGGAAGATCAGAATAGTCAAAATGTCTGCAGACCTGAGCCTATAATGTAACTCATGAGAATATCTGCTGCACTCTTAAGAATTTACCTTGTTAAATGTTTCCAAATCAGCTATTTGTAGGGCAGGACATTGCATCTATTATTAATTTGTTACAAATGGCCATCTGGGACAAAGGCAGCACAGTGCCTGGGGTGGCTGATGATACAGGCACAGCTACCAGGTCTTTTGATTCGACAACCAGTAGAGCTAAAACAGTGCAGGTCACACTGTATTGTTGCTGATTGTCTGTAGAGACCAGCTGGGTCTCTTCTGAAGCCATGGTAAGTTGACAAGGCTAGGTGAAATTAAGTCAGTGTCTACTGCTGGTTTTAACTGGACTGTTATTAGAGAAAAGTGCAGTCTTTGCCCCTTCAAGTTCTCAGTTTAAGTCCATGATTCTGGAGTACCAACTTATTTCACCAGCTGTGGTGGGTTCACTGTACATCCTTACTTGTATGATCTCTTAAGGTCATACTTCAAATAGCTCAGTGTTAGAACTTTTTCATGCAGACTAGAACACTCTAGAGAACAATATACCTTGTGTGCCTTCCACTTCCTTCACTAGTCAGAGTTCCGTTTTAAAGAGCCAGGTGGAGTTGTGCTGACCATCTTCAATATGTGTCAGCTGTCAGTGGTGGGAGTGCTGGGAAAGGGCACCACAGCCCAACGCTGGATTCTTCTCATGCTGCTGGGGCTTCAAGAGGAAAAAAAAAAACAGCACTTGGAATGTTCCACCTAAGGGAGGTAGGGAGCAGGGTGCATTCTTGGCATTCCCCAGTCTGTGGAGGAGGATGCCTGGGGAGGCCAGGGCAGGCTCTTGGGGCCCCAGCTTGGCCTTGCACTCCTCCCCAGCTGTCTGGCTTTTCCTGTCTGTTGAGCTGCCTGCTGTGGGATAGTAAGTAACTGGAGTGGGGATCAGTTCTTTGAGTCTTTAGGGATTCGAGATCTCTAAGGGCTAAGTATAGATCATTCCTAAGGTAACCATATTTTGAAGCTGGAGCTTCAAATCTTGTTCCCTGACTCAGGCTTTCCATCTTCTGTGTTACCACTGAGAATGCTGTTATTGTTGTTATGTGCCATCGAGTCGGACCCGACCCATAGTTATTCCCCATGATGAGACTGGCAGTCAACTCCGTGGTGGAATCTGCCACAAGTAGCTGAGTAGCTGCTTTAGGGATGTGGTCTGCTTCCCGTATATAAGGAGAAGCTTTGGGATTGGTCTCTAGCCTTTTGGCACACATGAACCCTGAATGTAGCCAAGTTGTTGTTCAACAGCCTGCCATGCCTTGCCAATCTTGGGACTTCTGGATTTGAATTAGTGGCCTGCCATGTTGTTTGGTAACATTGGGACTGTGCCTTTTTACTTGTCAATCTTGGGCTTGTCAGCCTCAGCAGCCAGCAGCTTCCTGAGTGAAGAAAAGCCCTCAGCTTCAGTGAGCTGGGAGCCAAGGTTGAGGGGCTTTCACCCAGCCCCTAGAGCCTGGCACTTTGAACTTGGACTTTTAGCCTCCAAAATTGTAAGAGAATAAATGCCTGTTTGTTAAAGCCGTCCCATTTGTGGTATATTCTTGTCAGAGCAGCACTAGGTAACCAAAACAGGCAGAGACTATATATATATCTATCACTTAGCCTTTATAACTATAGGCCTGACATGGTCCATTGTTTGCCCTAAGTGGATGTCTGGTCTAAATTGGATTGCCTCCAAGGCATACAACCCCATGGAGGCTAGACAGATGGGGTTGGGTTGGACTGGTATCAGTCTGGCCTATAAGCCTGTCTGTGCAGAAAGCCTCAGGATTTGGGGTCCACTTGGACCTGCCCTTCTATAGTCTGCCCAAGGCTGCGCAGAGTGGTACTTTGAGACTCCTGGTTCTGGTAGCCTGTTATATCTTTCTTCCTAGGTCCTCACTTGTACTAATTTTGTGATTCTCAAAGTTTTTAGTTTTTTCCTCTCCTTTTTCTCCTCCTTCTTCAGAGGGCGAGGTAGGGAGAATAGATGCTAAATTGCTTGTGAATTTATTAGGATTTGCTCCAGTAAACTATATTCTGACATTGTTTCTGCAGCCTTTGTTTCAACAATTTAGATGTGCTGGAGGCTGCCAAACCAAACAATTAGTGTTGGCTGTATGCATCCCCCGCTTTGCTGAAATATTACACATTCCTCTCTAGTGACGAGGGTGCAAAAATAGACTTTGAGTTCAGTCATGGCTGTTCTGTTTTTAGAGCGGACGTGGCCAGCTAAGACCTAGTTCCCCACATAGGGTGGCTGGCGCCTGTGTCGTAGCCTGCTAGACTGAGTCCTCTGGATAGGTCTTCCCAGGGATAGTCTGGACAGTCCTCCAGCATAGCACTGGGGACATTGAGGTGGGGTTCCACTTGGCTGCCAGTGGAAAGTGGCTCCTTACTTACCCTCTCAGTGCCCTTTTGCAAATCTTGTGTAAAACTCCTGGGCTGAATCTCTCTTTCCTGACTCTTGCTTGTACCCAGTGGGTGTGGGGGAGTCCACTTACCATGACCCTTGTCCCTCTTTCATACTATGTCCCTCTGCTGGTTACTGGTTTGATGCTCAGTGCTGTGAAAGTAGGGCTGATGGTTCCACCTTTCCCAAGACACACAAAGCCAGCTCTTCCACCATACCTAGAAAATAGACTTTTCCCAGGAATGAAAAATAACTCCATGTGGAATTTCATTTTTTTCCTGATTATGTCCTCCCTCCTCACAAGTCTGGTGCCTGCTCTCATCCCAGCTAGAGTGTTGCAGAGCATCTGCCAAAGAGGATAGGCTGGATTCTGCACCTGGAGCTGCTGCTTTTCCTCTTTTTATAATAAAAATTAGAACCAGTTGGCATTGAGTTAATGCCAACTCACCATGACTCCATATGTGTCAGAGTAGAACTGTGTTCCATAGGGTTTCCAATGGCTGATTTTTTTGAAAGTAGATCTCCAGAACTTTCTTCCAAGGTGCCTCCAGGTGGACTTGAACCTTCAACCTTTTGGTTAGTGGCCAAGCACATTAACTGCACCACTCAGGGACTCTTTATGATAAAAAGGGAGTACCGATTGTTCTTACCTCATTTGACTGCTATGAGGATTAAATGAACAAGTGCATCTAAAGGTTTTAGAGCAGTCCCTGACCCATAGGCAGTACTCAGTAAGCCAGAGGTACTTTATTCTTCCTCCTTCTCTTTCTCCCATGTTGGTGGACCTCCAC